GCACTGAAAGTAATTGATGCCTTCCACACAATATTTTCAGTATTAAACAACTCTGTTTGTTCAGTAAAAGTGTAAATACACTGGTAACCTTTAATCATATTTTATATGCAAACATTACATATACAAACCCTAAAGTTTTATTTCAGAATAGCCAGTAGTTTTCAAGAAATAAGTCTTTGAAATTGTACGTGTAACTTATATATATATAAGTTTTTTCACCATAACAAACAACACCAATATGGCCTAGTTAGTAGTTTACCTGTGTACCAATTAATAATAATAGTAATCTCAGGACAATTCACACAGCTTCATCTAGACCCAAGTTAAGCTAGCTGAAGATTATGTTATGGGTACTAGACAACTGATATAAATACAAAGATTTTTTTCGTAAATACATATATATTATCTATACATAGAAAACACCCAGACCGTTACAAACAATCCTACTCATGAATACAAATGTTTGCAGCGTGCGAGGAATCGAACCCTCGACCACCAAGCAGGAATCAAAGCAGTGTGCTAGCTAAATCGCTAGACTACCGACAACTAGCTGTACACGCGACTTCGTCCGCGTGGAATTTAACTTCTTATATTTTAGAAAAATAAAGTGAAATTCCACACGGACGAAATCCCGTGTACAGCTAGTCATCAATAAAAAAACACGTAGGTATCTCTAATATATTATACACTAGCTGTTCCCGCGACTTCGTCCACGTGGTTTTTAACTTTATTTTTCTAAAATAAAAGTAGCCTAAGTTACTCCTTATTACATCAGCTACCTGCCAAAAAAAGTCCCGTCAAAATCGGTCCAGCCATTTCAGAGATTAGCTGGAACAAACAGACAGACGGACAAAAATTGTAAAATATGTTATTTTGGTGTATGTACCGTATTTATATTCATATGCAAGTAGTAAAAAACGATTATTTCAATATTACAAACAACAGGCTTCAACATTCTCAAGTACCACAAAAAAGATGTTTTTTCTATCAAATAAACCGTTTTTATTAAAAACAAGCTGTTCCCGCGACTTCGTCCGCGTGGAATTTAACTTTATTTTTCTAAAATAAAAGTAGCCTAAGTTACTCCTTATAAATCAGCTATCTGCCAAAAAAAGTACCGTCAAAATCAGTCCAGCCATTTCAGAGATTAGCCGGAACAAACAGACCGACAGACAGACAGACAAAAATTATAAAAATTGTTATTTTGGTATATGTACCTTATATATATTCATATGCATGTAGTAAAAAACGGTTATTTCAGTATTACAAACAGACACTCCAATTTTATTTATATGTATAGATGTATAGATTATTATTTATTTATTTATTTATTCATCCAAAATAATACAAATTGTGTAGGATAACGTAATAGTAACATTACAGTAAAATTTTGTCAACAACATAATAGCAACTTAAATATTAAATCTCGGTATATCTATAGACTGGCTGGCCCCAGCGACTTCGTCCGCGTGAAATTTTATTTTATTTTTCTAAAATAACACAAGCGTAAGTTACTCCTTATTACATCAGCTACTTGCCAAAAAAAGTCCCGTCAAAATCGGTCCAGCTATTTCAGAGATTAGCCGGAACAAACAGACAGACAGACAGACAAAACTTGTAAAATATGTTATTTTGGTGTATGTACCGTATTTATATTCATATGCAAGTAGTAAAAAACGGTTATTTCAATATTACAAACAGACACTCCAATTTTATTTACATGTATAGATGTATAGATTAAAAAAAAAGTAACAGTCATAAGGCTAGTCGTATGCCTAATATATATATAATAATGTAATAAATTCATTTAAACAGAAATTGCGGGAACATTGTTTAAATTTGTAACTTTTTTACTGTCCTCCTTTTTTCACATCTTTCTGTTATATCCCTATAGTTCTCTCTATATTTTCTGTTTTTCTTACTTTCAATTTGAGACTGTACTTATAATTTGATTATCGGATCATTATGTATTTATTTATACATTTATGGGTTATATATTTATGTATGTATATTGTTATTTTTTTATAGAAATGTATATTTTGCTTATCTTTATTATCTTTATAAATCTTTTTTTGACATTTCTTATTTATATTAGTGCACCGCCAATAATCTTTCGCTGCACCACTCATGGTTGCCTGGTAAATAACGCGGCAAGATATTAAGTCCGCCACATGTACAAATTTTTTTGTGCATTAAAGTTAAATAAATAAAAAAAATACAATACTGTTTAATGAAAATGCGTATTGTCTAGTGCTTAGAGATGTATCAAAATAAGGTCAACAAAAAAGTCCGTGATGGTATATGTCTATCTCTCAAGGATAACCAACAATAACCATTTTTCATCTTTTACATTTTACGGGAATTTTTTTTATCGTATGTTTCCCTTAAAATCATGTAAACTATGCTATTATGTCATAATCTAAAGAAATAATAATATTTTATAGTGAAATATTCACTATAAAATATTAATGTAAATAGCAATGTAATTCGTTACGCGCGAATCAGCTGTTATAAGGTCAAAGGTCGGTGCACCCCGCGTATTTGATAAATAGTGCTTCTCTGGATGTCTTTAAGAGAAAATGGCAGTATGTACGTGTATATGTACACGTCCTTAAGTGTTAGTTTTTCAAATGTACAATAAAGAATAAATATTTTTAAGTACAGTACTTACGTACATTAATATAATACCTACTTTTTACTTGTATCTATTGTCATCAAAATTAAATTATAAGTTCTTAACTTGACCACGACTATGTGACCCTCTCTTGGCGCCAAAACGAGTGAAAAAATGAACAGCATACGACGACGACGCATACCTATAGAGTGGAGCAACTGCTTATTCAGTTTTATTCAACTATTTAGTCCCTCCACCGTTACAATGAATGGAGGCGGATATTACAATGTATGTAGCATTGCGAATATAAAATATCTAGATTAGGTATAATAAATTCATAATTGATAGTCCGTTACGGTATCAGAGCCAAAAAGTCTTCTTTCTTTATTTATGTACTGTTAGATGCGACATCGACTTTGTTTTATACTACACTATGTAATGATTGATATACTTAAAATAAATAAAATATCTGAGGTTTGGACAAAAATTCAAAAGGTACTTTATTTTGAAAAAGTATTTTGAAAATACCTATTTTGCATTTAGTATTTGAAATACAAAACACAAAACTATTTTTGTTTTTAGAGTGACATTTCTATGAATTCACTGTCGATAGCGAGCGGTGCGATGGAAAAAGATAACCGTTTATAAAAATATAATAAATAGCCCTGGACAATTAACACAGACTGATACTGAACTGATATAAATAGATATTTTTATCTTGTAAATACATATATAATATACATATAAAACACCCAGACCGATGAAATCAATCGATGACCGATGAGTACATATGTTTGCACCGTGCGAGAAATCGAACCCGCGACCATCGGATGTAAAGCGGTGTGACCACCGAGGCAGCCGAAATATATAAATAATCTTATGAATTTAATTTATTCTAATTTGTTTGTGTGCGCGGGGTGCGGTGTACGGTGCTCCCCCCTGCCTCCACCGTTGCTGGAGCTTGCATGTATGGAGCATTGCGAATATAAAATATCTAGATTAGTAAATTCATAATGGATAGACCGTTACGGTATCTATATATATTCGGATTAAAATAAGTATCGCAGTAAGGACCAGTATATAAAGTGATCAACACAATTAATTGATTTTTGAAATATATATACAGAGCCAAAAAGTCTTTGTGTATTCAAAAAATATCTAATTTGTTTGTGTGCGCGGGGTGCGGTGTACGGTGCAGGGGGGACCCTGTCTCCACCGTTGCTGGAGCTTGCATGTATGGAACATTGCGAATATAAAATATCTACATTAGTAAATTAATAAATTCATAATTGATAGACCGTTACGGTATCTATATATATTCGGATGAGAATAAGTATCGCAGTAAGGACGAGTATATAAAGTGATCAACATAATTAATTGATTTTTGGAATATATTCAGAGCCAAAAAGTCTTTGTGTATACCAAAAATTTAGCCGTTCGGAGCCATTCAGTCACGAATTATTAGTAAAAAAAGTGTCGAGTATATCGTACTATCGACGAATATATATAGCCGCATCGCAAAATAGAATGCGACGTTGCCATACCGCCTGAGATATACGCGATAGAGGTCAAGTTATTCAATGCAAAAGGTGGAATCAGCAAGTGTTTAGCTTGTGGCGTGATCAACAAAGTGCCCAAAGAGGTGTTTATTTATATATATATATATATATATATATATATATATATAATAAATATTATGTCTATTATTTTTTTGATTAAGTATATATATAATTTACGATAATAAGAGCAAGTTAGCAAATAAGTTACATAAGTAAGTTTGTTTGTAACACTTTAAAATAACAGAATATATGTATATAAATAATACTTGATTTTAAAATATAAATAAATTGTACAATTACGGACTTATCCCATATGAGGGATTTCTTACACTCAACCTTTGAATGACTGAAAGGAATGGTGAAGTGATGGAATTGGAAGGATATACATATATAATAATAGCTTAGTATGATATATATGAGATTTAAGCATGTTATTTAAAAAATTACTTTAATTATTTTGCCTGTGTGTAATACAGGCAGTCCTCGTACTTACGACATGTTAGGTTCTCGAAATATGCGACGTAAGTCGAAACATACTTTTTTTATATGTTTACATGTAAAACTCAAAGTTTGAGATCCAAGCTAACCAAAGGAACTAGCTAAACAAACATGTGCGGGGGCCCGCCGGTCCGATGAAGTCGAGGAATGCCTGTATCCGGATATCCGATTCTATTTTATACCTACATGTTCTATTTATTACATGTTGCATACACATCCCTTTTGTTATATTGTGTGTCTTTCTGGAATTTTGTTTCTGTCCATTTTTATAAATTTATTTTGGCATTTTTTTTACTTTCGTTACATTCGGCTTTGGCTATATTGTACAGGTGCTGCGGGTAACAAGCGTCGTAAAGACGCGGACAGCAGAAAGAGTTCTGTGGTTGAAGGTATGACTCTATTGGCAATATATCTCACCTTTAAAAAATATTGCACTTGTCTATACTTTGGCTTAGAATTTATTAGCAGAATTTTGCTTTTTTAATACTCATTTTTTAATTTGTGTGAATATTTGCGCTATCTATGACGGCGTATACTGTGACGTCACTTCGGTTTAAATGTGTCAACGGCAGGTCAAATATTACGGAATTTTCACGCAATTTATAGAGGCGATAGGGGGGCGAGTACAGATGATACTGCAAACCAAAGTAAAGACTTATGGAGCAGCTAAAGGCCGACTCCCGCCTGACGCATACGACTTTAGTGTGATGGCACCGCTAGGGGTCGAACTCCTCAAGCGGCGCCATCATACTAAAGTACCTCGGCTTATGCCGCCGTAATTTCGATCCCCTTTTGAATTTAACGGGGGAACGTACAATTATAAAAAATCACGGGATCTTACCACGTTTTATTTATATTAAATGAGTTCATTATTGAGTCAAAATGAATAAAACGTAGTAAGACCCCGTGATTTTTCATAATTGTATGTACAAACAATGACTGCGTCAAATTTAAAACAGTATATGATATATTATCGTAAAAGTCAACACTTTACAAGTATAGTAATTTTTCAAAAGCGTGAATGAAGTAGTGCATGTTTTTTATATAAGTGGAATGGCAAATTGACTGATGGACCACATGATGGTAGATGACAACCGTGGTCTATATACATGAACAGCACTACGGATATCACGTCATCATGTGAAAGATAACGAAGAACTAAGATTTTTTTAAATTGGTAATAATGGAATGGCGTGCACTGACGGTTTATGCTGGCGGGGCACCAGTAGAGCATGAGGTTAGGTCAATCAGCCCTTCGTGGGAAGCTCATCAGGAATTTATCACTAGGTCTTCGATGTAAGATGGTTAGATCTATGATGCCTCTTTACCCAGTTATTTACTACCATATCTAACCCAGCCGAAACACAGGCTATACAGTAAACGGTTTGGCGGGTGCAATATATGACGTAGAGGTGCCTATGCAGACTACTTATCCAACTCTTTTTTTATCTGGATAACCTTTGCAACACCATCTCCCAGCCAGAGGGATAACAAGTGTGTAGAATTCTTCCCCACTAAAAACACACTGTGTACCTACGACCCTCATCACCGGACTAGCCAGTTTACGTTACTTCCTACTGCGACTACGGCGGCGTTGGCCCGTCCTATAGATGGTGACAGGGCAGACCCCGTCTCGTTGTTAGGGCGACCTATATCGCCCTATTCAGTCGTAGAAACGTATGGGCACACGCGCACTCATCCGGAGCTTAGTTGGAGCGCTGCCATTAGACACGATTTATCAGAAGTTTTTATCAAAATAAACTACCAAAAAGTACGGTGCAAAGATGGTGGCAAACAAACATCCGTCTGATGGTAAGCGGTTATCGTTGCCTATGGACGCCTGAAACACCAAGGATGTCAAGAAAATTGGCCTGGGACCCCGGCCCCAGTAAGGGATAGAGAGGTAGGGCGGACTTAGACTTACCCAAGTCTAACCTTGTAAATAATCCAAGTTTTATTATCAGGTTTTACTCTGAGCGCTTCGAACAACCTTGCACGTCTGACAGCGTTGGCACTGACGCACTTGCTGCTAGCGCCGCCCTGCTCACGGCTGCCCGCATACACCCCGCTACGCAGGGCCGCTGTCGATCTGCTGGGTCGCGGGTTCACTGTCTGGGAGCCTTACCTGGATGTCAGCCATGTGTTACTCGGTAATTATGATGGATGGTTGTTGATAAGCTTTTACGAAGCGATATTAAAGTGTAATTAATATGTATATATGAAATAGAAACTTACAGGTGTTCAAAAGACGACGACAAACCGTAAAGAAATAGAACAAGTTACCACAGCTATCAGAAAATAATCACTACCATGTCTTAACATTAAAATTTCTGTTTTAATTCTTACGTATATTAGAAATTTAAATGACCCTCACATCCCAACGTGTGACGTAATTCATGGACAGCCCCAAAAGAGTGTATCTATGTGTATGTTGCCAGGGCTACTAGAGCTATGCTCAGACGCAGACAAGCTGGTGCCTTCGATGACGTACGGGCTCCCACTCACGCCGCAAGCCGACTCCTGCCGCACCGCAAGACAGGCGCTCACGCTGATCGCTACTGCCAGGTATCTAACCCTTATTTCATGTATGTAGAATGTGGGGTAACGGTATGTACCATTTTTTGGCCTTGGGGTAACGTTATACACTGCAGTTATGATGTGGGGTAAAGGTATATGCTACTTAGGACTTGGGGTAACGTTATAGACTTCAGTTGTGACGTGGGGTCAGGGGGTGTGGTGGGAGACGTAGAATTATTTAGGTTACTGTACAAATTGTATACTGGGTATGGGGTAACCTTCTAGATTTTTTTAGGAAACTGACTGTACTATACTAACTGTATAGGATTCGACGGAGGTCGTAGGCAGTGATGAGTGCGTAAGTTACATACATGTGCAGGCCGGCGGCGTTCATCACGACGATGGCGCGCGAGGTGGCGCGGTGTGCGGCCGCGGCGGCCGCCGGCGGCGCGCCCCCCCGCCCCGCGCTGCAGCGGGGCCGCGCGGAGGTGCTGCGCGGGCTCGAGCTGCTCATAGACCGCCTGCACGCGGAGCTGGCCGAGCTGCTGGTCGAGGTGCGCCCCCCGCCCCCCCACCACCCTCCCCCCGCCCCGCGCTGCAGCGGGGCCGCGCGGAGGTGCTGCGCGGGCTCGAGCTGCTCATAGACCGCCTGCACGCGGAGCTGGCCGAGCTGCTGGTCGAGGTGCGCTCCCCGCCCCCCCACCACCCTCCCCCCGCCCCGCGCTGCAGCGGGGCCGCGCGGAGGTGCTGCGCGGGCTCGAGCTGCTCATAGACCGCCTGCACGCGGAGCTGGCCGAGCTGCTGGTCGAGGTGCGCCCCCCCGCCCCCGCCCCCCACCACCCTCCCCCCGCCCCGCGCTGCAGCGGGGCCGCGCGGAGGTGCTGCGCGGGCTCGAGCTGCTCATAGACCGCCTGCACGCGGAGCTGGCCGAGCTGCTGGTCGAGGTGCGCCCCCCCCCCCGCCCCCCCACCACCCTCCCCCCGCCCCGCGCTGCAGCGGGGCCGCGCGGAGGTGCTGCGCGGGCTCGAGCTGCTCATAGACCGCCTGCACGCGGAGCTGGCCGAGCTGCTGGTCGAGGTGCGCCCCCCGCCCCACGCCCCCCACCACCCTCCCCCCGCCCCGCGCTGCAGCGGGGCCGCGCGGCGGTGCTGCGCGGGCTCGAGCTGCTCATAGACCGCCTGCACGCGGAGCTGGCCGAGCTGCTGGTCGAGGTGCGCCCCCCGCCCCCCGCCCCCCCCCCCCCCCACCACCCTCCCCCCGCCCCGCGCTGCAGCGGGGCCGCGCGGAGGTGCTGCGCGGGCTCGAGCTGCTCATAGACCGCCTGCACGCGGAGCTGGCCGAGCTGCTGGTCGAGGTGCGCCCCCCGCCCCCCGCCCCCCCCCACCACCCTCCCCCCGCCCCGCGCTGCAGCGGGGCCGCGCGGAGGTGCTGCGCGGGCTCGAGCTGCTCATAGACCGCCTGCACGCGGAGCTGGCCGAGCTGCTGGTCGAGGTGCGCCCCCGCCCCACGCCCCCCCACCACCCTCCCCCCGCCCCGCGCTGCAGCGGGGCCGCGCGGAGGTGCTGCGCGGGCTCGAGCTGCTCATAGACCGCCTGCACGCGGAGCTGGCCGAGCTGCTGGTCGAGGTGCGCCCCCGGCCCCCCCACCACCCTCCCCCCGCCCCGCGCTGCAGCGGGGCCGCGCGGAGGTGCTGCGCGGGCTCGAGCTGCTCATAGACCGCCTGCACGCGGAGCTGGCCGAGCTGCTGGTCGAGGTGCGCCCCCCGCCCCCCCACCACCCGCCCCCCGCCCCGCGCTGCAGCGGGGCCGCGCGGAGGTGCTGCGCGGGCTCGAGCTGCTCATAGACCGCCTGCACGCGGAGCTGGCCGAGCTGCTGGTCGAGGTGCGCCCCCCGCCCCACGCCCCCCACCACCCTCCCCCGCCCCGCGCTGCAGCGGGGCCGCGCGGAGGTGCTGCGCGGGCTCGAGCTGCTCATAGACCGCCTGCACGCGGAGCTGGCCGAGCTGCTGGTCGAGGTGCGCCCCCCGCCCCACGCCCCCCACCACCCTCCCCCGCCCCGCGCTGCAGCGGGGCCGCGCGGAGGTGCTGCGCGGGCTCGAGCTGCTCATAGACCGCCTGCACGCGGAGCTGGCCGAGCTGCTGGTCGAGGTGCGCCCCCCGCCCCCCCACCACCCTCCCCCCGCCCCGCGCTGCAGCGGGGCCGCGCGGGGGTGCGGCGCGGGCTCGAGCTGCTCATAGACCGCCTGCACGCGGAGCTGGCCGAGCTGCTGGTCGAGGTGCGCCCCCCGCCCCCCGCCCCCCCCCACCACCCTCCCCCCGCCCCGCGCTGCAGCGGGGCCGCGCGGTGGTGCTGCGCGGGCTCGAGCTGCTCATAGACCGCCTGCACGCGGAGCTGGCCGAGCTGCTGGTCGAGGTGCGCCCCCGCCCCACGCCCCCCACCACCCCCCCCGCCCCGCGCTGCAGCGGGGCCGCGCGGAGGTGCTGCGCGGGCTCGAGCTGCTCATAGACCGCCTGCACGCGGAGCTGGCCGAGCTGCTGGTCGAGGTGCGCTCCCCGCCCCCCCCCCACCCTCCCCCCGCCCCGCGCTGCAGCGGGGCCGCGCGGAGGTGCTGCGCGGGCTCGAGCTGCTCATAGACCGCCTGCACGCGGAGCTGGCCGAGCTGCTGGTCGAGGTGCGCCCCCCGCCCCCCCACCACCCTCCCCCCGCCCCGCGCTGCGCGGGGGTGCTGCGCGGGCTCGTGCTGCTCATAGACCGCCTGCACGCGGAGCTGGCCGAGCTGCTGGTCGAGGTGCGCTCCCCGCCCCCCCCCCACCCTCCCCCCGCCCCGCGCTGCAGCGGGGCCGCGCGGAGGTGCTGCGCGGGCTCGAGCTGCTCATAGACCGCCTGCACGCGGAGCTGGCCGAGCTGCTGGTCGAGGTGCGCCCCCCGCCCCCCCCACCACCCCCCCCCCCCCGCCCCGCGCTGCAGCGGGGCCGCGCGGAGGTGCTGCGCGGGCTCGAGCTGCTCATAGACCGCCTGCACGCGGAGCTGGCCGAGCTGCTGGTCGAGGTGCGCCCCCCGCCCCCCCCCCACCCTCCCCCCGCCCCGCGCTGCAGCGGGGCCGCGCGGAGGTGCTGCGCGGGCTCGAGCTGCTCATAGACCGCCTGCACGCGGAGCTGGCCGAGCTGCTGGTCGAGGTGCGCCCCCCCCCCCGCCCCCCCACCACCCTCCCCCCGCCCCGCGCTGCAGCGGGGCCGCGCGGAGGTGCTGCGCGGGCTCGAGCTGCTCATAGACCGCCTGCACGCGGAGCTGGCCGAGCTGCTGGTCGAGGTGCGCCCCCCGCCCCCCCCCCACCCACCCCCCGCCCCGCGCTGCAGCGGGGCCGCGCGGAGGTGCTGCGCGGGCTCGAGCTGCTCATAGACCGCCTGCACGCGGAGCTGGCCGAGCTGCTGGTCGAGGTGCGGGTCGAAACCCCTGTCTCCGATCGCGCCGCAGTCTTGGCCGTTCGCGCTCCTCTCTTGGCCGTTGGAGGGCCCCTGGCCCTGCTCCTCCGTGCAGCAGATGACAGCTGCACGTGGTCGGCTTCATCGTCATCGGAGTCGAGCTCCTCCTGACCTCTCTCCGCGATCCGCCTCTTTCGATGTTTTTTGGGGGGCGAGGTACTCCCTCTAGCCTCCCCAATGTTATCCTCGGATCGGAACGACATGGAGGACCCTGTACACTCCGAGTCCATGTCCGCCACATGTCGTTCAAGGGCCTCCAGGTAGTCGACGGCCCCATACTTCCGCATCAGCTCCCTCTGATACCTCTCCTCATCGCTGCCCGTGTCCCCCCCAGAGTACGTGGGACGGCCCACCCCCGGCGAATCCGGTGCGGTGGGGGAGGATTCTCCGGCCGCAGAGCGACCGGTACCTCCCTGGGGTAATGTACTATTGCGTTCAGCCATGATGTTATTTTTCCTTTTTCTCTACAAATAATGTTTTATTCCTCCGTGCGACTCGTCCCGTTTCTCCCCCTCCCCTCTCTCTTTGTGCTCCTTACCCTTTCCACCGGCCCCCTCGGATCATCGCAGTGCACCTCTTATAGACAGACACCCATAAACAAGTAAGTACGACCGCGTCAATTTCTTTTATGAATTAGGTAACAATTTTATATCTGATATTTCCAGGTCATGGACATAATCTTACACTGCGTTGACCAGTCTCACCTGAAGAGCAAGGGTCTGAACGAGGTGTTCCCGGCCATATGTCGGTACAACCAAGTATCACACTGCCCGGCCACTAGGAGGATAGCAGGTACATTATCATATTGTAATAACCCATTAACGTCCTGTCACTGTTATGATTCACCAATTAAACGTTCAGTTTTCTTCGTCTTCTTCTTTTTCTAAAATAAAAACTTTATTCTAAAATAAAAGTAGTCTAAGTAACTCTTTATTACATAGAAGCTATATGCCAAAAGAAGTCCCGTCAAAATCGGTCCAGCCATTTCAGAGATTAGCCGGAACAAACAGACTGACAGACAAAAATTGTAAAACATTTTATTTTGGTGTACCGTATTTATATTCATATGCATGTAGTAAAAACGTTATAGATGTATAAAATTATCTGTAACTTGATAAGTATATTGTTGCTCCAAAGATTTCTTTTTAAATATATACATAGTAAACACCCAGACCGATACAAACAATCATACGCAAGAATACAAACGCTTGCACCGTACGAGAAATCGAATCCGCGACCATCGGAGGTAAAGCGGTGAGCTAAACCGCTAGAGCACCGAGGCCGTGAATGCGTGAGCCGTGCGATGTGACGGGAGGGTGGTGTGTGCAGTGGGCAGCCACACGGGGCAGCTGGCGCTGTACGAGCTGCGCGCGGGGCGCTGCCAGTCGCTGGCCGCGCACGCCGGCCCGGTCGCCGCCGCAGCCTTCAGCCCCGACGGGCGCTACCTCGTCTCCTACGCCGCCGCTGACAACCGCCTCTCCTTCTGGCAGACCACCGCAGGTCACGCTCCTGACACTACACACGCCTATGTTCCACTGGTGCCTCGCCAGCATAATCCATTAACGCAAACGGGTGTTTAGTTGTACCCGTCTAATCCATTATCATCCATAAAAACTATAATCCATACACTCATACTTGTCCTATCATCCTACCACTGATGCTTCGCCTACGAATACCGTTAGCGCAAGCGAATGAATTATTTAATTATCACCCTTATCACCCATTCAAAAAATACTCCATACACTCTATCTTCCACGGGTGCCTCGCCAGCGTAAACCGGTAATGCGGGAGGATGTATCATTCTGTGGAGTATTGTATATAATTTTATAATAATCATTGCAAATCATTACAAAAGGTAATTCATGATTACTGGCCATCTATAAAATTATCCGTCACTCGCCATATACAGATCCGTTCCATTTACATTTTCTTTAAACAATTTTTTACTAGTCATATATCTCTTGACCCCACAATTTCATTATCATCTATAAAAGTATACTCTACACACTCATGCTCATCTTATCTCCCTTCAGAGCCTCGCCAGTGTAAACTGTTCAAACATGGGGGAGGGATTGTTAGTAATGTGGACTAATGATCCCATTGCTAGCAATGTACCATGTCAGATCGACCTCCACGCGGTTCCCCCTGGAAACCATCGTGATACATTCCCGGTGAATTTGTCACGTTGGGCTAACTGATCTGACGTCATGCTCACCTTATCATCCTCCACTGGTGCCCCGCCAGCGTAAACCGTTAGCGCAGGCGAATGTACCACTCCATTATCATCCTTTAAAAAAAAAACTGTTCAAACAATAAAAAAATACTTCAAAAATGGGAGAAGTGTGTTGTTTGTAACGTAGGATAATAATACCACTGCTGTGATATATGCTTGATAATTTTCAAGGAAACCGCGTGGGGCAACTTGACATGGTATATTGCTAGCAATAGGGGATATTAACCTATGTTAACAACAATCCCATTCCCCCCATATTTACAGTTACATTAGGCCAGATAACGTCCACATTGATATGGTTTAATCTCAATCTTCAACTTATTGTTCAAAACACCCAGACCGATACAAATTTAATCTCAATCTTCAACTTATTGTTCAAAACACCCAGACCGATACAAATTTAATCTCCATCTTCAACTTATTGTTCAAAACACCCAGACCGATACAAATTTAATCTCCATCTTCAACTTATTGTTCAAAACACCCAGACCGATACAAATTTAATCTCCATCTTCAACTTATTGTTCAAAACACCCAGACCGATACAAATTTAATCTCCATCTTCAACTTATTGTTCAAAACACCCAGACCGATACAAATTTAATCTCAATCTTCAACTTATTGTTCAAAACACCCAGACCGATACAAATTTAATCTCCATCTTCAACTTATTGTTCAAAACACCCAGACCGATACAAATTTAATCTCCATCTTCAACTTATTGTTCAAAACACCCAGACCGATACAAATTTAATCTCCATCTTCAACTTATTGTTCAAAACACCCAGACCGATACAAATTTAATCTCCATCTTCAACTTATTGTTCAAAACACCCAGACCGATACAAATTTAATCTCCATCTTCAACTTATTGTTCAAAACACCCAGACCGATACAAATAATTATACTCACAAATACAAATATATTTACCGTGCAAGGAATCGAACAGGCGACCATCGGAAGTAACACCCAGACCGATACAAATTTAATCTCCATCTTCAACTTATTGTTCAAAACACCCAGACCGATACAAATTTAATCTCGATATTCAACTTATTGTTCAAAACACCCAGACCGATACAAATATAATCTCCATCTTCAACTTATTGTTCAAAACACACAGACCGATACAAATTTAATCTCAATCTTCAACTTATTGTTCAAAACACCCAGACCGATACAAATTTAATCTCCATCTTCAACTTATTGTTCAAAACACCCAGACCGGTACAAATTTAATCTCCATCTTCAACTTATTGTTCAAAACACCCAGACCGATACAAATTTAATCTCCAGCTTCAACTTATTTTTCAAAACACCCAGACCTATACAAATATAAGATCCATCTTCAACTTATTGTTCAAAACACCCAGACCGAGACAAATTTAATCTCCATCTTCAACTTATTGTTCAAAACACCCAGACCGATACAAATTTAATCTGCATCTTCAACTTATTGTTCAAAACACCCAGACCGATACAAATTTAATCTCAATCTACAACTTATTGTTCAAAACACCCAGACCGATACAAATTTAATCTCCATCTTCAACTTATTGTTCAAAACACCCAGACCGATACAAATTTAATCTCCATCTTCAACTAATTGTTCAAAACACCCAGACCGATACAAATTTAATCTCCATCTTCAACTTATTGTTCAAAACACCCAGACCGATACAAATTTAATCTCCATCTTCAACTTATTGTTCAAAACACCCAGACCGATACAAATTTAATCTCAATCTTCAACTTATTGTTCAAAACACCCAGACCGATACAAATTTAATCTCCATCTGCAACTTATTGTTCAAAACACCCAGACCGATACAAATTTAATCTCCATCTTCAACTTATTGTTCAAAACACCCAGACCGATACAAATTTAATCTCCATCTTCAACTTATTGTTCAAAACACCCAGACCGATACAAATTTAATCTCAATCTTCAACTTATTGTTCAAAACACCCAGACCGATACAAATTTAATCTCCATCTCAATCATTGTTCAAAACACCCAGACCGATACAAATTTAATCTCCATCTACAACTTATTGTTCAAAACACCCAGACCGATACAAATTTAATCTCAATCTTCAACTTATTGTTCAAAACACCCAGACCGATACAAATTTAATCTCCATCTTCAACTTATTGTTCAGTCCGCTAAATAATTGTAAGTATAAATGGTTTATATATATTTGCAGGCATGTTCGGACTGGGCGCGGCGCAGACTCGCTGCGTAAAATGTTACAGTACAGCGCCTATGGCGGATGTCGCGCGTCTCAACCCCGCTCGCCTCGCTCGGCTTGTGTGGGCCAACTCTCGCACTGTCACTCTCATGCTCGCCGACGGCTCCGAAACCAGATTCAACATTTAAGTTATCAGCGAAGCGTGGGAATAATTAGATCTAAGCGACGTGATACCAGCGAAGCATAGGTATAATTAGGTCTATGCGACGTGATATCAGCGAAGCATGGGTATATTTAAACCTAAGCGACGTGATATCAGCGAAGCATGGAAATAATTAATTGTTTGTGACGTGACATCAACGAAGCACCAAGATAATTAAGTGTAGAGTAATATGATGACGCGAAAGCGTGCTTTGCAAACAAGATAAAATTTTTGAGGTTATATTATATATCTCATGAGTTAACCATATATAACCATAGGTTTACCATAAAGCGATGATTGTTATGGTCATAAAATAAGTATAATAATTGCACTGGGTGTCTGAACTTGTCTTTCTTTGAATAGCTCATGCTAAACAAACATTTTATGCTGTTTTTGTTAATATAATCGTTTAATGTTATAACATTTAGTTATTGTATTTGTAAAATATTTTGTTTTTAGTGGTATTTTTTTGTTAAGTATTTATATGTTGTATAATAATTCATATTTTACACCTTAGCTTTACATATAATAAAATCGATACGAGGCAAAAGGTGTCTGAATGAATATTAAAGCTTGTGTTAAAAACAGCTGGAGAAATTAGGAAGAAATTTTCATGATATAGTTGTGTGATATATATTAATTAACAGTCGTTTTAGTATGTTGCTCTTTTATTAGTCAATTACACGGTCGGATCAAACAAATGTGGGTTGGAAATCAATACAATATATTGTATGTATAAAAGGTTTGAAAGATAAAAGAAGAAAATGATAAAAGAGGACCTACGCATGTGAAGTGGCTTAAAGAAAAAAACGTTGAGAAAAATTATAAGAAAGATATTTAATTAATTTTTATCAATATTTTCAAGTACGCCATCCACTATTAATTATTTCATTTATTGTTGTCGTTTGATTATAATGAGTTATGAGTAATTTATGAGTGAATAGCTATACGACTTTATAGTATTGAAACAGGCAAGTAATTATTAAATTATAAAAGTATTTTATTCATAACTTGCAACCCAGCCCGGTTTCTAACCTGTGCTTAATCTACGTAACGTAATTCTACTTAAATACATGTTTTTTTAAAAGGTGATAATGGTCTTTTACACCCTTCTGCTCTAACGAGAATGAGTTGATGAATATTAGGTCAGATCAGTTAGGCCATGGGACAATTACTCAGGTATTTAACGCAATGGTTTACAGGGGCACTGCTTGGATGTCAACCTGATATGGTATCATTGGCGTTATTAGTCCATATTGCTAAAAATCCATACATATATTGCATATAAACATTCCGGAAGAAATTTCCGAAATAATCATGAAAACAGTAGCAAAATTCGTTGCGTGATTTAGAAATAAATTACACAAAACAAAACAGCGACTTTGCTATGTACAATTGGAGATGTACGCACTTTCTTTCGGATTATTCATCATATCATTCATACGGCTAATGCTAGTTCAGAAGCCAGGTCACACATAAATACTGAAAGGATTGGTATTGTCTAGAAAGTGTACTATTGTACACTATTGTATAAATAATATTGTAACGATCCGTCTGAATCAAATAAAGATTATTATTATTGTAATACTGGTAGTCGCAGCTGGCCTTTACAGCTTCACCGGACGATAGAGGGCGAGTGCAGATGGCACTCCAAACCAAAGGAAGGAGTTATGGAGCGGCTGCTTATGAAGGCCAACTTCCGCCTGATATGTACGCACGTTAGTCAATATTCTCATCTTGTTATTGTTGTTGTGATATTCAAAATAATATTGAAATTGTAAAATTGATGTGTATAATAATGTTATAATAATTTATGTAAAATGTAATCAATAAATTAAATATCGAATTTGTTTATTATTTTTAACTAATTGACCCGCGCGACTTCATCTGCATCACACTTATATATCTCCCAATTTATATATCTTATTAAATTATAGCCTATGTGTTATTCTGATGTACAAGCTATGTTACTGTAAAGTTTAATCCACATTTGTTCCTTAGTTTTTGCGTGAAAGAGTAACAAACATCCATCCATACTCACAAACTTTCTCATTTATAATATTATAGAAAGAATACCAAGAATTGAACAAACACTTAAGTCATCTGAGGATTTTCTGCGCATTTTAAGTATATCTTATTATAGACGAACTCGGTGGTATAGCGGTTTAGCACACCGCTTTACTACCGATGATCATAGGTTCGATTCCTCGCACGGTACAAATATTTGTATTCATCAGTATGATTGTTTGTATCGATCTGGGTTTTTTTGTGTATATTATGTACTTACAAAAAAAAATCTAAGTATTTATATCAGTTGTTTAGTGCCTATATAACACAATCTCTGCTTAGCTTGGGACTAGATGGTGCTGTGTGAAATATGCAAGATATAACTGTTATATAATTAAAACTCTCAAGAGTTGGATAAATATGTTTATTTAATACACATAAATGTGTGACCATTCAGTGGGTGCTTCTGTGATATTTTAAGCTAGGGATGACCAACACACGGCCCGTTAAACACGGTTATGCGGACCGCCAAGCATTTATAAAATTATTATCTTAAAATAATGGAAGGAAAGTTGAACTTAATAGAAACAACAACTTAAGCAGCTAATAAATAAAACCAATTTTATATTATATAAGGTTCACTTTATTGCCTTATTCGGTAAGCATTTTCAGTTGAGAAAAACTGGCAAGAAACGGCATAGTAAGTTATCAATCTATACAAATAAAATTGAAGTGTCTATTTATAATTTCAAATTAACAGCTTTCCACTAAATGCATATGAAAGTATATACGGTACTTACATGAAAAATATATATTTTGTCTGTCCGTCTATCTGTTTTTGATATCTGAAACGGTTGGACCGCTTTTGATGACACTTTTATATGTAGATAGACAATGTTAACTTCCGTTATTTTAGTTATTATATACCGTTTTTGACGGGACGGTTCCCATGCGGATAGTTAATGTTATAAGGAGTAACTTAGACTACTTTTAATTTAGAAATATTATATAATTTAATAAAGAAAAAAAGGATAAATTCCACACTGACCTAAGTCGCCGGTGACTGATCATTTTTTATACAATCATTGTGGTCAAGCAACGACATATTGTATACATTATATAAACGGAATCTTTATCGTAACTATAATATTTATTTATATAACTTTAATGCACATAATTCAAAAGTACATATGGCGGACTTAACACCTTGCGTCATTATCTACCAGTCAACCGTGGACGGTGCAGAGAATAATTGTTGGCGGTACAAATATAAATAAATTATATAAATTATGTGTTCTCGCTATACAAACGCTGTTACACATAAATTTACCATCAGATGGGCGTATGCTTTTTTGCCACCTGTAGTAGTAAAGAAAAAAAACAAATTACAAAGAATTCAGAAAAATAAGAAAACAAAACACTTAAGTCGTTTGATCCGTTTATATAATATACACAATTATATACTACAGTAAAAAAAGTTTAAAATAAACAAATAATATTTTTTTTATATGAAATTGTAATGATAGTGAATGGTAACCATCGTCTATTTACATGAACAGCACCACGGTGATTACGACATCACGACATCATGGTGAACGTGATGCCACTCATGTGTTATTACCCCATACAATCCCTATATAATATATTGCATTAGAAACTGACTAAGTAAGCTGCTTAGCGACTGAAATAAATGAGGTAGAGGTACACGCAGACGACTTTACAGTCTACCTCAATATCATTACTTTATACGTGAAGCAAAAACTTTGTATCTCTTTCTACGAAAATTACACGGAGGAATATAAAATTCCGCACACTTACAGAGTACAATGCTAATATACGTATAACTAGTAAATCATGGGATCTTACCACGTTTTATTTTTATTGAGTTCCCGATCATTACGTAGTATAAAATCTCGCTGTCCGTCCGTCCCTATGTTGCTTAAATCTTTATAACTACGCAACGAATTTTGAAACGGTTTTTAATAGATAGAGTGATTCAAGAGGAAGGTTTATATACATAATACATGTACACCCGTGCGAAGCCCGGGCGAGTAGCTAGTTAAACAAAGCGTGGTAAGATCCCATGATTTACTAATTATACATATAAATAATGACCGCGTCAAATTTAAAATAGTATATAAATGCTAATATTGTTCTTAAATTATGCATAAAAAACATCAAATTAATAAAAAAAACTGCCATTTACACACTCACTACCATGCATGTGTCTTTGACAATAGAACCTTAATAAAGTTCAAACTTATAATTTAAATTATTTATGGTCGAATTTCAACTATGTCAACCACTAGTAAACTATTCGGGGAATACTATCTAGAAATATAAATAACTATAATATTACTATTTACTAATCCTTATCGACTATTCATATATAGAAATAAAAAATAATCTTTATTCAAATAAACTCAATATAAACACTTCTGTGCAGTCACATTTTTTTATTCTACCACTCATACGGAACGCAGTTTTATCACAAGAAGAACGAGGGAGAAACTAGTGTTGCTATTTTAAATAAATGTTGCTCAATAATATTACTATTTACTAATCCTTATGGTCTATTCATACAAAGAAAAAAAATCTGTGAAAAAAAATGTTTTGAATAGTAACATTTTTTTATTCCACAACTCATTCGGAACGCAATCTCATCACAAGAAGAACAAGCAAGAAAATTGCGTGTTGCTCTTTTAAATAAATATTGCTCAAAATACAAATTTAACATTTTGTGTGAATACAAACAGTCAAATTTGACAATAGTAAATAAATATAATAGCTACTTGAGTAACAAAATAAATCAGTCTTCGTTATCAGAACAGACCAGTCCAGTTTATATATAAGCAGCAAAATTTATATAGATGTTATATATAAAATTCTCGTGTCACAGTTTTTTTTTATTAGCTCATGTTATTAGTTTATATATAATACATATTTTATTCTATTTATCTTCAATATACTAAAAGTATTGAATAAGATTTGATAGCAATTTGAATCGGGAGGAAATGACAGATTTTTTATTTCTTACATGTTTGCGAGGGTGTTGCTCCTCAATCCACCCTCGGAACCGCAGCTGACTACTGAGGTTTTAATGCTACTCTAATGCTGTTGGCCGCAGCTGGCCTTTACAGCTTCACTAGACGATAAGGAGCATAAGGAGCAAGAGAGGACTTATGGAGCGACTGCAGGACCAACTCCCGCCTGATGGATACGACTTCAGTCTGAGCACCGCTAGGGATACGAACCTCGGCTCAGACCGTCGTGGTTTTGATCCCCGTTTGAATTGGGGGCTACCGAGGGTACGTTAACAGTTTATTTACAACTGGCAATCCAGTTTGGCTTCTCCCCTGTATATAATCGGCGTGATGGAATTATATGCATGTTTTTTTTAAGGATGATAATAGTCTTTTGCTCTTCCTGCGTTATTGGCTTATGCTGGTGGGGCACTAGTGGAGGATGATAAGATGAACATGAGGTCAGATCAGTTGTCATCGTGGCACATTGACCAGGAATTTATCACAATGGTTTCCAAGAAGCACCGCGTGGCTGGTTTTAATATATGTTCGCTAGACGACTATTTAAAAACAATTTACAAACTGCTAGGCGCAAAAGCTGTTTGGCGCCAAAAATTAGACCCAATTTCAATACCTATCGGCCTCCAATCCACAGCTGCCACCAAGCTAAATAGCCTACAGAGAATTGCTTGTCTGATTATTACAGGAGCCATGAGCACCACGCCGGGAGCAGCTCTAGACGCATTATTGGACTTGACACCCCTTCCTTTATTTATACAGGAAAAGGCGAAAGCCAATATGCTCAGAATAAGTTCCCAAAGGAGGATATCTTGGCATTCCCTGGCCATAAAAACTATACAAGACTCGATAATGAGCGATCCTATTCTGGGAATGCCTGAAGACAACATGGCACCAGAGTGTAACTTTGTACAATATTATAAAATCGAAATATCTGGAAGAGACGAATGGCAAAATAACCATACACCGACTCACTCAGAGCATGACCTAGTTTGGTTACAGACGGGTCAAAATAGGAGATGATGTAGGATGTGGAATATGCGGTGTAAAACCCAAAATCTGCAACTATATAGGCTTAGGAAAATACGCCTTAATCTTTCAGGCAGAGACTTACGCCTTAATTAGATGTCTGGAAGTAATCCTAAGCCTTAACTACAGCAAACAGAACATAAACATTTATTCGGACAGTCAAGCTGCTCTACTAGCACTTAACTCGTACGAAATCCGTTCTAAACTTATTAGGAAGCAGAAATAATATTATACTGAGATGGGTCCCCGGGCATTCAAATATTGAAGGCAATGAGAATGCCGACCATCTGGCAAAGTTAGGGGCAAAAACCGTCCAACTGGGCCCCGAACCCTTCTGTGGTGTGCCTCGTTGCCTAAAACTGGGACATCTCAAATTAATAACCAAACGAGAAGCACTGAATCACTGGCAAGAAATGCCAGGATTAACACATTCAAAAGACCTAATATCGGGGCTTCTCGAACAAATACTCCAATAGACTACTGCTATTGAGTAAAAACAACATATGCATGATGACTATGGCTAAACTAGGCCTATGCACGACAAGTATCTGCAGATTCTGCCAAACTGAAGAGGAAACGCCGCTTCATATCCTATGTGGTTGTAGCCCACTCATGCATAAACGAAATATCTCCTTTGGAAAGTTTACACTCTTTCCTGAGGAGATAAAAACGATCGCTCCTAAGAATATCCTTCAATTCTTGTCCCTGACGGGTCTAAGTAGCGGTAAGGTAACTTTGAAAAGGGCGAGCACAATACATCTATGTAGGTCGCAGTGCTATAGGTGCTACACATCTGACAATAGCCCAAACAACCCAATAAAAAAAAAAGCACTTCGCCAACATTTATTGTATTGTGTCATCATTTTATGAAATTCTCTTCATCCCCAGGCGTTTAACGACTTCTACAATCCTAGTTAAGTAACCCCTGTTATTGCAGGTTTTTTCATTCTTGTCGGTGGGTCAAATATTGATTCAATATTTAAAAATGAAGATTTAAATGTACGCAAATAAAAAATTTAACATAAAATATACTTAAACTTATGTAATGAATGGCCTCTTATTGGTATTCTGTTTCTAATATCAAATACATATAAAAGATGGACATTATCTTGAAACAACCTAACCCATGTTAGTTATAAAGTGAAATAATATAATTATTTACATACAATTTCTTACTTAATAATACTTTACCAATACTTATATTATTGTTAAAAGTTATTTTTATTCGGCACAAATATTTTATATGTATAAATACTTAATGAATATCATTATTGTAAAATTAATGAGCATTATATTTGAAACTGATGTCGTCTAGTAAGTCATCATCAGACTCTGAATCTCCTTGATCATGTAAATTCTTTATTACATTGGTTATTGTATCATCTTCCTCTTCTTCTTCATCAGACGATGTATCTATGGAATCCACGTCATAGACAATCCACTTTTTAATACTCCCATCTCTAGTCAATGTTAGCCAAGTTTTATTTAACACTTTATTCAAATGTATAAGAATATATTGGCCTTTGTTACAATGTGAATATTTTTTGTCGTCCACAACTCCGTACAATTCAAATTCGAAGCCATATCTTGTATCATTATTAACAGTAGAAAATTTCATAAATCTTTTGCCAATTTCCAAATCATAATGTTCAACGCCTATCAACTGTATTTTAATAATAACAGATGTGTTATGTTGCCTCCAAACAACTTTAGGTTTTCTTAAATCATCATCTATTGCAGTTATAAAAGGTCCTTTTTCAGCTTCAGATAAAAAATTACTATCTGTACTAGTATGAACCAATTCAGTTACATCTGAATCTCGACTGTCCTTTGCGGATGAGAAGTCGTCAGAATCCAATTCCTGTATTTCTGAAATATCACTTTTTACTTTAATGTTTTGATTATTAACTTTCATTTTATTACTACATGCATTCTCTGAAGAGATTACCGTTTCAATTTCATTCGAAACACTTACAGTTTCTATATTACATATACTGCTAGAATCTGATCCCATTAATTTTGGTATTTCATGCATTTGTTTAAATTTTTCATCATTAAGGATTGAATTTGAATCCTCTGTTTTAATTTGTTTATGTGCATTACTTTGTGTAAACATATTTGAAAATTCGGATGACAAATTAATATCCCACTGATCTGAATCCTCGTCGCTATCTTGAACTAAAGGCACTGACCTTAAAGGTTTATTTCGGAAAATATTCTCAAATGGTACTATTGCAGTTTTCCTTGTTTCCTGTATTGATACCTTTTCCCAATCATCTTCTGATGTTACAGATTGGTTATCTTTCTGTATATTAGGAATCTTTATTTGATCAAAATATTTCACTTCATCTTCATTTTCTTTAGCTAAATTTACGTCAATCATTAATTCATTGATCACAACATCTTGATCACTATTTGTGTCAATCAAAACTACTCCATATTTGTGTCCACCAGTATACTGAGCTTTTTCTTTTGTAAAATATTTTATGTAAAGTTGTTTCATGCGTCCATTGGCATCTTCAAAACAGTTATCATAAAACCAGTTGTTACCAAATTCAGTCCAATCATCCCCAGCAGGCTTCACGCCAATTAATCGACATTCAACGGCTTGAAATGGTAGTTTTGTAATGTACTTATCTGGTATTGCTATTAAATGATTTACTGGAACATCTCTCCAATCGCCTTGATCCACAAAGAAACTTTTAACTCTATTGTTACTATATTTCTTATCAATTCTCGCCCGTTCGTAAGTAGAATCATCTGGGAATTTTGCCAGAACAATATCCCCTTGTATTACCTCAGTTACAGGTTCAGGGTTTTCAAGAACATATTTCGCAATATCTTTTAATAATGTATTTATGCAGTCTTCAAATTTTACAAGACGAACAAAGAATGTGCCTGGACTTTCAGCGGATCCGAAAAATACAGGAGATATTTCTTCACTATCAATATGAGCCCAACGGACAGTCGCTTGTTCATTCACGGGCCGCATAATTTCAACTATCGGTTCTTGTGTTTTTACATCTAAACATCCAGCTCCACAAAGACTTTCTAATTTAGACACGTGATCTGGATTGGGGATAGCGTGTGCTTCTAAAAGAATCTTTTTAAAGTTATCAGTTACAACCGTTTCATTCAATGAAGTTAAATCTTGGCATGCTTCTAAAGTGTCGACAAAAATACAATTTCCAATCGTTAACGTCACCAGCCCTCTCATGTAATGCTCTTGCTTGTCGGTAATTATTTTCAGTTGATGTTTCGAAAGTTCTGAAAAAGTAACATCTTTGTCCATGGGTTTTACATTAGCTAATCTCACTTGGACTACATGAGTTTCAATCTTGTTAAATTCATCTGGTAAATAGTATAAATAAATATCTCGACTTCTCTCTAGTTTCTCTTCATCTATTAACTTAATGAGGACATAATTAGCATTACCATTCTTGTAATGACTTAAAATTTTCATAACTTGACATCTAGCAAAGAAATTAATTTTCATCGAAACAGCGCATATATCTCCTACTTTTGGTACGCCATGTAATTGTCTATTCGATTCTTTACTATAGTACATCCCCATTTTCAACGAGAGAGTGCTGTATGTCTGTGGGTACTTTGTGGTGTTACTTTTTGTAACATTTGATAGCAATCTTGCAGAGTATAATACTGTTGTTTGCACGTGTAAAATTTTAAAGGTTATTATACCCGTTTTTGGCATCCAATCCTTAGGCTCGTCGTACTCTTTGAAAATCTCGTGTCGTTCCAAACAATTCCAAAAATCGGGACACTTGCCTAAAGCCAGTAGACTATCACATAGTGGGACTAGTTTCTTCGCTTTACTGATGTTCTTTTCCATTATAACTTTCGAGCAAATATCATCCAAAAATTGTGGGATATCATTAGTGCATCTTTTAATGAAATTTAGTATTTTTGGTAGTTGCTCCACGTTACTATCATCCAAAAATATTTTAATTTTCACATCCTTATTCTCCACTTTAAATATCGATGGATAATTGTCGTTTAAAACCGAAAATCTTTTGCAGAACATGGAGAACAATTCTGGTAAAGAATAATGAATCAAGTAATGTGCGTCTGACACATTTAGATGCGTCAAGTTCCCATCACAACAAATCAGTATTGGCCCTAATAAAGGCTCTTCATATTCATTCCATTGTTTACTTAAATTATACAAATTATGAACCGTCATAGTGTTATCACATCCAAATACAATTTTACCACTTTTCTTCAATTGTTTTTCCAATAGTTCAACCTCTTCATTCGATCGGCAGACTATCACGGTCTTTTTAGGCCCTTTAATTTGTTCTAGGAAGTCCAATACGATTTTTATTTTGTTCTCTTTTTTTACAAAATCCACTGATGTATTAGCTTTTGAATACAAGACACACTCTTGAAACGCTCCGATACATATAACGGAATGAGGAGCTTTTTTCGCAAGAGATTCCATAAAACCGCACCAAATCCGAGACGCTACAACAAACTGGACTTTCAACTCTTTGTTCGCTCTACTTTTAAGCATCTCTTTAATACTATAGAGGAATAGTTTAATCTCATTGATGTAAACTTCAGCAAGACGTTCTGAATCTTCGAGAACGAAAGTGGAAAGTCGGCGAAGATCTAAACCGAAATCTGTCATTTGAAGTAATCTAACTAACGCTGACGGTGTACATATCAACAAGTCACAACCATTCAGAAGAGAAGACGTTATATGCAGTTCATCCATGCCAGCATAGCAGGTTAGTACTTTTTCTTGTATACCCAAAAACATTCTACACAGTTTCTCTACTTCGGAAACAGATTTTGCTGTCGCACAAACTATAATGCATGATGGGCCTACACTGTCTGTTGTGCTTGCTACCGAACTAGAATCCGACACTAAACGACAAATAGCTGGTATATAGCCCATAGTCTTACCACTGCCTAATGGACTTATCATGAATAAACTGTAACCACGCAAAATAGAAAACCAAGACACAGTCTGCAACATCATAGGCTTTTCAATAGACATTTTTTTAAGAACTACATGAATATGTGTATTAAAATTTACATCTCTTAAATAAAGACAAGGTTGAATTCGCTTATCCGACTTACTATGAACCATAAGCACAGGCATTACTAGTTTTTCAACAAATACCGATAATACAGGAATGTTTGGATCCACATTTTTAAAAGGATTGACATTATTTTTTAAAATCACACTTTCTTGCTCTGTGACATTTGTTGCAGTGGGTTCATTTTCAGATCTAATTGTTTTGACATTACCATATTCTAACGACAGTTTTTGTACTAAATCATCAATGTTCTCATCCTCCATATCTTGACTAACCATACTGTTATTATTTGTTACATTTCCTTCACATACACTAGACGATGAATCCTTACCAACATCTGATGACAATGATAAGGAATCGTTTAACATGCTTTCTTTATGTAATCTTAATTTCTTTAAAAGTGCTTTAGAATGAAGTGATTTACGAGGTTCACTGGTAAATTTTTCTGATTTTGATTCCTTTGAACTAGAATCATTATGAACCTCATCTACGATAGATTTGGCTGAGGTAATGTTTACTGTAAGCTGTTCTATGTTTTCTTTATTCATTAGCTTTAATTTATCTTTATTAGTTATTTGTATACTAGCTACAGAATCCAAATCTTGATACATTTCATGGTTCTCTTCTTTCTCTTCATTAATCTCTTCAAACTTGTCAAGTACTTCAACTGATATCACTTCATCCTCTGTTATTTTGGGTACAATTTTTAATGGCAACTTTTTCAGATCAATACCTGGTGGTCCATATGCTATGCGCTGTTCTGTGTTTACATTATATTCAAGAATATGGTTTTTACTATTTTTCTTTGCTGAAAAATAAAAAAATGAAATTAAATACAATCTCTGAATATATAGAAACGCGAGTTGGCAGGCACCATTTTATTAAAACCGTTTTACAGTATATATAGTTATGTATCATAAAAATAAATTTTAGAAGAAGAAGAATTATAAAGAGGTAAAGTTTGTAAGTTTGTGAGATATATATTATGGGGTAACCTCTGGACTACTACTAGTAGTCCATTTTATAAAGATTATATGTAAGATCCTGCTATGAACATAAGAAGCAATGCTGCAAAGAAATATATAACAAAAACGGAAGCAATGTGATGTAATCGAGGTTGTGCAGGTCAGCTAGTTTATTATAAGTTATACTTAAAATAATGTTCTCTTACCATTTCTTAATCTATTTCTCATATTAGTTAATTTTGATTCACATTCCTTTCCATTGAACTTTACAGGGGAATGTTTATGTTTGACTGTATCATCTTCCACGTGTTGTGTATTTTGAATAGTGGTTTGTGGCAATCTTACACTACTTCCAGAACTGTCATACTCTTTAACTGTAGCATTTGCTTCTATAAATTTCTTAGTAGCTAATAACATAGAGAGAGGATCATCTTTATGTGTCTGTCTTTGCGACTGTGCTGACAACTCTAATTTTTTCCTTAGCAGCATAGATTTTCGTTTTGGTTCTGACTCTTTGTGACATGTGCCTCTACCAACTGATTCCTCATCTACATCTTTATATTTATCCAAATCCTTTATCTTCTTTTGAAGCATATCCTGTATATCTAAATGTTTATTATGTCTCTCCAAATTCTGAACAGTTAATGAGGACTCCAAATTTTTGGCAATTTGATAAATATTTGTTTGTTTTTTTACAGATTTTTCTCGTTCCTTACTTGTTACATTGTTGGGTTGTGTTAGTTGTTTGATTACCTCGTCCCTTTGAAAATTATTTAGTTTTGTGTTCAACTTGCCTAAACTCAGCTCATGGAGGAAAAGACAAGGATCATTTAGGGTGAAGCCAGATTTTACGAGTAATTCTGATAGTGATTTACTTTTTCCATTTGGCATTTTTAATATAATCTCACCATATTTGTGGATATTGTGGTCAAATATGGAATTTCTGGAAATATAAATAATAAGTGTTTGTTAAGAAACTTTATATTCTGAAAATTAATGTACCCATTAAATAATATAATTTTAAGTTTGGTAACTCTGGTAACTCTGTCTATATACAAGATTTGTGTAAAATAATGTTATTCCATAGTACAATGATTGCAAACAAGTAAGTAAAATATGTAAATATAAAATTTACTATTATTACCACTTGCAACCTGAAATGTTTTGTTGATGATAAAATTGAATTACCAGACACTAATTGTATAAGCTGGTAAGGTTGATTTGATTCATCTTTCTGTCCTTCACAAGTGAAGGTGGAATAATAGCTAATTACACAGGAATTCAGCCAGAATTTTCCAGTGGAACCATATCCTATTATATTTAACCTACCTATTGATATATATTTTTTTTTATAATGGAATAATGCACCTGCCTGTGCTTACAGTTTACTCTGGACGGGCATCAGTGGAGGGATATGGATAGGGATATAGGGCTATAGGGATATAGGGATAGGATGAGCATGTTGGTCAAGTCAGTTAACACATCCTGAAAAATTCACCAGGAATTTATCATGATGTCTTCCAGGGGGAGCCGCGTGGAGGTCAACCTGACTTGGTACATTGCTAGCAATGGGGTTATCAACTCTCATTACTAACAATTCCCTTTTCCACACACTGATGTTCTGTTAGAACAGAGGGTACAAGCATTCTATAATCATGATTAAAAAAATAAACTGATTGAATAAATAAACAACTTACCTTCTCTCTATATGAACAGGACTAAACCAAACTTCCGTTGATTCGAGGAAGATATTCTTCATAGACAGTACTGTCGCTGGCGCCCAGGTTTCGCATCTTTTCGTTTCCAAGCTCAATGTATCATCGGATATAGTAACTTCTTGAGGTAGAGTCCCGTATAAACCAATTTGTTCGAATACAAACTCGCCTGGATTTACATTTGGCGGGTCAATCACTTCAACCCATATTAAATGCGGATTTAAATAGTGCAGAACTTCTACCTGATATGAATCCTGCGTCATAGTTGCGGTTTTTAAACTTCACAAACTATACAACATCGTACAAGTACGTATGAGACATAAATTATAATAATATCAAAAATCGGTATTAACAATGCAAATATTTTTGAAAGAGATCAGCAAAATTTTGCACAGATAATAATATCAGCTTAACCTCTACCAAACTAAACTGACTGCGCGTAACAGCTGTCATTCGCAATGTCAAGTACTGACAGATTCAATCTATGCAAGCAATGGTTTCGTGGCTGAGTCGGCTAGAATTGTTACAAATAGTACATAATATTTTATTATTACTATTTAGTGAAAGTAATATTCAATAACTCTATATATTTATGGTTTTCCCGTGTTAGTCGTGACTACAATTAAAGGTGAATTAATTTCAATAAATATTTACTACGTAGTGTACATTTTAAACACTGTTTATGTACTAAACTCTTATATAGTTTGTTTTTCTGTTATGCTTTGTATAACGAAAGCTATTTTACTTGTAATTGTTATGAAAAATAAATAAGTTTCCAAAAATAACAATGCCAGTTCCAAATTTTGCGTGGTAATGCAGTAAATTAATTATTTATTACGTTTTGAAGTTATGGGCGTTTAGTTATTACACTAAAACAAAAATTAAGAAAAAGAATTAAGAACTTTTTTCTAATACTACTTATTTTCCCATACAAATAGCATTTTCATAAGATATCTGATAAAGTTACGAGAAAATGTAAATGATGGAATCCTCACCATATTTTATTTTGTTGTAAAAAATTAAGTAACAAAAATGAAGCAAAGGTAATTTATTTATACTACCAAGTAAGCTTTACACTTATAGTTTCAAAACTACTATGAAAATCTTTAAAAAACAATCTAATAATGGCAAAAATAAGTGAGTCAGATGTAGCTACAGATAATTATATTCATTGTATAATCTTCTTCCTGCTATTACTTGGTTTTTTAAGTCCTAATGTTTGTTTAAAAGTTCTTTACTTTTAGCACCTTTTAAATATTATCTAATTTATAGTCTATCATAACAGAACTATATGCCTTTACTATGGGATGTAATATACTGTCTTGCCATTCTTTCTGTCATACACAATTACAGGATATTACAGTATTAGCCATCTTATTTAAAATATTATGGTAGTGAAGCACCTGGATGAAAATTATTTATAACATGTTGAGATAGACTTTGTGATAACAAATGGCCCTGACCCTTGCCATATTTATCAGAATAATTTATTGACCTTTGTACCAGCTCAACTATGAATTACTTTTCATCTGACATATATATATTTTTAAACATTTGTTTAAAAGATCAAGAAGCCAATTTCTTGCTTATTCTTCTTGTAATGATTCTCCATTCGGAATGAGTGGTAGATTAAAAATATGAGACTATTCTGAAGTGGTTACATTTATATGTTTGAATAAAGATTATTTTTATTCAATTATTTTTTCTTGTACATCATCTAGGATCAGAGAATTAGCAAATTTTCTTATAATAATAATATAAAGCCTATATTTGGACTGTCTAGTATTCCATTTGTCATTATAAACTAATTATATACCATGGTTTTATTCTGCTTAGAGGCAAACACACATACAGTACATCTGATGATAAATGTATGCCAATAATTGGCAAGAGTGAGTAAAGTAGAGGAAGATGGAGAATGTTCAAGAAGCCACATTTTCCATCTCCCTCTATTCTTACTCACTCTTGTTCATATGGCCTGCTATGGGTTTATTCCTATTTTAATATAATAAATATTTTTCAGAACAATAATGGGTGTTGCAATAAGCAGATACTCAGAGATATCATCAAATGAGCTGCTCGTGAGGTTCTGCTCCCAGGAAGTGATATGCGCAAATGATCCGTTTTGGAACCAGTTATTGGCATTCAATATTAATCCACCTGCCACTGTGTAAGATATAAAGAAGCCTTTATTTCTGTACTATTATACATTTTTTTTTCTACTCGCCTATTCATAAATATTATTATATAATACTATAAATTTATTATTATTGTATATATTTTTTACTATTATTATTTGTTAAGTAGTTTAATTTTTTTAAGTTTAATTATTAATTTCATTTTCTATATTATATCCCGCAGTACAGAGTGCCTTATGGCAAAGGCCTCCTCTAATTCCTTCCAGTGTACTCTATTTTGGGCTCCTCTTCTCCAGTAGGGGCCTGCTGTCAGCTTGATTTCATCCTCCCAGCGTCTCTGTGGTCTACCTCTTTTTCTTTTTGTTTCTTTTGTTTATTTATTTATTTATACTTAATTATTTATTGCACCAATATTAAAAGTAGATACATAAAAAGAAAATAATATATAACAATAAATTAAATAAAGAAGAAGGTACACAAGGCAAGGAAGGTATATTTTAACTATTGAAAAGTAATTTTTTTACATACACAGGAGGATAATGTTGCCTGTTTGTTATTAACTTTGCCATATAAATTAAAGTACTTATATCACTATTATAAAATAGGAACTGAGTGGTGAAAATTTAGGGTTGTAGGATTTTTTTAGGGTGATATCATGAAAAAATTTGTATAAAAACAAATCTTGGCCAATAAATAGAAAACAAATATGAATTGACCATCCTTAGCACTTCAGACCTATAGAATTTATATACAAAATTCTTCTTATATCCACCTGAATACATCAAGCTGTTTAAGAGAAGGTTTGTTATGTGTATATATATATATATACATATATATATATATAATATGTTTGCTATATAACACTGTGGCAAGAGAATTTTATATATTAAGTATATGTATTAGTTATAATTTCATTATATTTTATATATTATACTAGCTGTACCCGCGACTTCGTCCGCATTTCGATTTTAACTTTATTTTTCTAAAATAAAAGTAGCTTAAGTTACTCCTTGTTACATCAGTTACCTGCCAATAAAAGTCCCGTCAAAATCTGTTCAAGCCATTTCAGAGATAGGCGGAACAAACAGACAGACAGACAAAGAATGTAAAAAGTGTTATTTTGGTGTATATACCGTATTTATATTCATATGCATGTAGTAAAAAACGGTTATTTCAATATTACAAACAGACACTCCAATTTTATTTATATGTATAGATAGATATATAAAATTTATCAGATTCGACTAGTTAAACTAATCAGGATATACATATGACATATATATATTATATATTTAGCTTTTGTTTTCAGAGATGAGCAGTTGATGTTTGATTCAAGCGCAGAGACACTCCTGCAGAAATTTTTACAGAACAACACTCAGACTGGCAATCTTGGTTCATTGGTGCAAGTCTTCATAACTAGAGCCACAGAGCTGCTGGCGTCACCAAACAGTGATAAGTGTGTATTCTCATTCTTATTTTTACTCTTCTCATTATAAGTACTTTCACACTTCACATTTTCACCTCATTTGTGAAGATCTTGGGTTCGATTCTCATAGGATATATACTTTCTTAATTTTGTAATTTTGTAATACTATCTTAGATACTGCCATACAACCTTTCCTAGGAGTAGTTCTAAGGAGTACCTAGTTATGTATAAAATTATAATATAAAAACAAATAATATTATTAAGTGTTACATTTTTTTTTTTGTTACAGTGTAATGTTGGCATGGCAAACATACAACGCCTTATTTGTAATACGGGCTGTGAGTAAGTATTTAGTTGAAATGGTACCTGAGTATGAACTGTGTCGACATCTCGATACACAGGCCGAGAGGAGAGTTGGTAATGGACCAGTGGAGAGAGACACGGAAGTAACTGTACGTATATCTTTATTCTTTACTAGTTATACATGCGCCTTCGTCTGTGTGGAATTTAGATTTATTTTTCTAAAATAAAAGTAGCCTAAGTTACTCATTACATCAGCTACCTGCCAAAAAAAGTCCCGTCAAAATAGGTCCATCCATTTCAGAGATTAGCCATAACAAACAAACAGATAGAAAAAAATCTAAAATATGTTATTTTGGTGTATGTACCGTATTTATATTCATATGCATGTAATAAAAAACGGTTATTTCAATATTACAAACAGACACTCCAATTTTATTTATATGTATAGATAATAGGCCAAACTATAAGAATGAATAGACATAATAGACATACACAAATATATAAATATATAGACATACATACATATCTATATGTTTGATTTATTTACAGTTAATAATAATAATCTCAGGACAATTCACACAGTGCCATCTAGTCCCAAGTCTAGCAAAAGCTTGTATTATGGGTACTGGATAACTGATACAAATACATAGATTTTTTTCCGTAAATACATGCATATTATATGTAGAAAACATCCAGAGCGATACAAACAATCATAATCATGAATACAAATGTTTGTGCCGTGCGAGGAATCGAACCCGCGACTAACGGAAGTAAGGCGGCTAAACCACTAGATCAGCGACGCCGTCGACAGATTGGCAACGCACTTGCAACTACCCTGGTGTGGCGGGTGCTCATAGGCGGCGGTAATGACTTATCATCGCTGAACCGCAAGCTAGTTTGTGCTATAAATATAAATAAAAAACAACTGACTAATAGAGTTTAGTTATACTCCCAAAATATTTTTTTTCCCGTTTTTGCAACATTTTTCACTGATGCTTCGCTTCTATTGGTCGTAGCGTAATATTATACAGCCTAAAGCCTTCCTCGACAAATGGACTATCCAACACAAAAATAATTTTTCAATTCGAACTAGTAATTCCTGAGATTACCCCGTTCAAGCAATTAAACAAACTCTCAGCTAATATTAGTATAGATTTTATTTATTATTTGTTGCAGACTCCCAACAGTCAAGAGACGGAGCAACCATCACAGGAACAAAACACAGAACTGCCAAAAATACTGGGTTCCGACAGTCGGGTCGAGGTGTTGATTGACGCACTAATAGGACTGATAATAGATATACCAGTCACGTGAGTATTTTTTTATACTACGAAGTGACCAACAAGCATACGGCCTACCTGATAGTGAATGGTTACCGTAGCCTATGGGTGTTTTTTTTTGTGGATGATAATGGAATGGTGCACCCGCCTGCGCTAACGGTTTATATGTATATATATATACATACATACATAGACTGGGCGGGGCACCAGTGGAGGATGATAAGATGAGCATGAGGTCAGGTCAGTTAGCCAATCGTGACAAATTGACCAGGGATTTAACACGATGGTTTCCAGGGGGAACCGCGTGGAGGTCGACCTGACATGGTACATTGCTAGCAATGGGGTTATCAATCCGTATTACTAACAAACCCTTTCCTCCCAGCCTATGGGTGTTATCATTGTCTAATTTGTATGTGTATACAGAAAAAATGTATTTAAGTAGTTCTATCAACTCATAAAAATAAATGTTTTTATGGCTAGTACGCATATCAGAAAATATTTTTCTTGGGACTAGATGGCGCTGTGTGAATTGTCCAGGGGTATTATTATTATTTCATTTAATGTACACGTACAATGAATTTAAAAAAGAAATTACGGCTCATTTACAAAACTTAAAAAAATGGCAAAATGAAATCTGATGTATTGATCTTAAAGTCGCTTTTCAAAAATTCTATATGTATAAATGAATATTAAATAATAACAATATACAGGTACAGCTCATTCACGATTGCTTAAAAATATGGAATCTAACGTATTGATCACAAAGTCGATTTTCAAACTTTTGTTAGTAGTCTATATGTACAAATGTATATTTAATATGATTGTTACAGAGACAACACATATTACTTACACCTGGAGTGTATCAACACGCTACTAGTGCTAATGTCTGTATATATGTTCGCCGGCGTACACGGACAGACAAGACTTGTTGAGACGTCGCTTATATTCAGGTAAAGGTCATTACGTTCTATAGAAAAAAATATTTAGAAGTTTTTTTCACCGAGACAGACTTTGTAAAAAGTCACCTTAGAATAATGTAAAAATCACCAAACATGGCATTAATTCCTAAATTAAGGTAAACTATATATATTGTCCCAATTACTTAATTTCTTATAAAAAATGATAATTTAAATTGGTCCGTCTATGAAAAAGGTTGCTCACCCCTATTTTAAATGATAAAATATTTGTTTACCTTTTATATATGAATTAATTTATTAATTAATTAAAACCTTCACTTCCCTAGGGGGGTGCGGATGACCAGTCAGTCCTTTCATGTTGATATTATTGTCTACAAAAATTATTCGGTCTTCAAAATTGTTAAAAATAAGTATTAAAATTCAATATTAAAAGTAAATTTGGGTTTCATTTGAAATTCCGATGTGTTAGCGAAGACATATTGGTTTTATCTTTTCAGGACCCTCTTCCAAGGTAGATACGGTATGCACGCACCCTTGTTGGTGAAGACACTGTTAATAAATCTGTCGAGTATGCTCCCAGCGCCGCCGAGCATGTTCGGAACCACAGCAGCGGGTGGCAGCTTACTTATAAATATTGCGTGTAAGCGACTTTAATATTATCGTTTTGTGAAGCTGTAAAGGCCAGTTGCAGGTACAGCATTAGAATAGTCCGAAAGAAATAATATTTAGCCTTTTCTTATTTAAAAGCTGGTGTTTCTCTTCTGTTTGCTCATATATAAATTTGATCTAGATCTGGCCAGTTTTTGAGTATGGGATTTGATTCCAGGTCGTGTTAATTTATTTGTAACTAATAATATTAGTTATTTACGGCCTCAGTGGTCTAGCGGTTTAGTTTATTCGATATAAAACAAAAGCTAAAAGGTTAATTTTCATATATATATAATAAATTAAATTTCCTAATGCTTTTGACTACCCCATCCAAGATGACAGCCGTAAAGGTTTATGATTATTATAATCCACTATATTTTTTTTCTAAATTTTCAGCGGGATTACTCAGTATGCTGCGTTTCACGTCTTCCACACAGACCATCTTCACGCATCCTCCTGTAGATAGACATGAATTGCTGATCCGTTTGAAACGGGAGCACCCTGTAGCGAATCAATCGTGTTTACTGCTGCTCGCGCTCACCTATCACTGTATGAATGAAGATAATTTGTACAGGAACGCGTTGTTGTGCTGTGAAGATACTGCAGGTAATGTATTATTTTTTTGTACCTAGATTATCAATAAGACTTGCAATTGATGTGATGGAAAAGAGCAATCTATAAATTATGTAACATATTGAGAAGGTCGACAAAGTGTCACAAAGAATGGGTGGGGTTCGACAAAGTTTGACAAGGGCTGGGGGGAGTTCGACAAAGTGTGACAAGGGTTGGGAGGAGTTCGACAAAGTGTGACAAGGTGCACAACCTAAACAGAGTCCTAAATTTTGTGACGTTTTTTCAAAATGCAATCATGTTTAATACACGAAATTTATACTAACAACATACGATAAAAGTGAGTTCATCTATATTTACTAGTGTATTGCAAAATGTGTCATGTCATTTTAGGAAGGGGGTGGGGTCTCACAAATGTGACCAACTGGGCCAAGAACGGAGGAGGCCTGAATAAATGAAGTTCGTGTGATGTAATATTACGACTAAATACGGAGTTATATAGTTCAACATCAAGCAGTTTGCTTAGTAAGCTCTTTCGGTTGAAGGGTCACATATGGTAGTGGAATTATAGGGTTTGGAATTACCTATCTAACTCTTCTGATATAGCAAACAATGGGGGGCCGCGTTGTCGTTCATGAATATAGGCGTCTTGTCGTCTACCATATGTATATACATATAAAACACCCGAACGAATAAAAAAAAAATTTGAATTACCCTTGAATAAATTCAAAACATCTGTTAAAATATAATTACTGAGCAAAGCCTATTACTCACTAAACAATTACTTGAATGACGAGCGTGCATGGCAATAGTTGTTCATGTACGGGATTTTCATTTAATGTTAGACATAGACACCTATATAAATACCTATGCATTGTAAATATTGGCTTTTAAAAAAAAAGTAATTTAATTGAGTTTCTTGTCAGTTCTTCTCAATTGGATCTATATACTGAACTGGACGGTAGGGAAAAAAATTATAATGTGAAAACTTGACGTTCATAAGCGGCTAAAATGTCCTACATGAATAAATGATTTTTTAATTTGAATTTGAAAATGTTTGTACTGTGCGAGGAATAGAACCCGCGACCTTCCGCGTGTCAAATTGGTATTTTTTTTATTACAGAACCCGTAGCAACGACTCCACAAAGGGATTCCAACACAAGTGTAACACAAGTAACACCGCCGCGAATCGATATGACCGCTGTAAGTGAATTTATTTTGTTGTATACTAATATTTCTGCAAGCTATTTTCACATGTCTTAGCCTAGTACAATAGTGTAACTAATATATATATTTTATAATTAGTTCTAGCTTTTAATAAATAAAGCGCTCTTAGTGAATTCATTCAGAATTTCAGAGCAATGCCATTTAGACCAGAGGTTTCCAAACTTTTTTGTGTCGTAGACCCCTTGCCATATTTTTCGGTTTTGGGTGGACCCCCCTTTCTTACCTGGTATTGATTTTTTGTAAATTTCTAACTGTAATAAAGTTTAGTGTTAAAAACATAAATTAAAAACAACATGATGACCGCTGTCGTAGACCCCTTGCAGTTTGTCATAGACTCCTGGGGGTCGATATAGACCACTTTGGGAATCACTGTTTTAGAACAATATGTAATTTTACTAAACTTTGTACAAAGTTAAGAAAACCTACTGGAGTACGTCTACCTCATGTTCCAACAGCCAAGCAAATGTCTTAAGAATGATAAGTGGAGGCATCGGTATATATTAATATAAAAAATCAATCGGGAAGATGGTTATAGGCTCTCTAATATTTCTCCAGTGATTGGTTTAATTAAAGAAAAATCGCGATCAGAAAGCGTATTGAGATGAAGATAATCTGAGTATAGTTTGCCGAGATGAGTATCGAACGAGTTTCAATAGTAGCAAAGAAAGCGTGTGAAGGTAGAGAAATATAAACCAATAAAATATTTTATTTACCATCTACCCGCTGCTCTTCAGTCTACCCGTGATCATGGCGGTTGAAACACTGCCGAAATATCGGGAACTTAATAAAATTAAAGAAAACGTAGTAAGATCCCGTGATTTTTCCTAATTATACCTATAAATAGTGTAATTGTAAGTGTGTAAAAATATTGATGGCGTCAAATTTAAACCAGTATAAAAATAAGATAACGCAAACGACTTTGTACAAAGTGTAACTTGATTTTTATTAAATCACGGGATCTAATCATTAAAAACATGTAACCACGCTGTACATATAATTATTGACCGCGACAAATTTAAAACGGTATAGAATAAAATAAGACACATTGTACAGCTCGTTTTTTTTATTGTTATCTCAAAGTGTACGATACTTCCGTAGCTCCACAAGGCACTGTGTGCGACGGCCGGCTGCGAGCATTCCACTTTACTACTCTACCTGATGCTGCAGTCGTGTAACGGGTACAAGAGGCATGTAGCCAGCGATCCACATATTGAAAACTTGGTGAGTATAATGTTATAAAGACTTATTTTTATTATTTTCTTATTTTGATCTCCCATCGTTTCTCCATCCAATTCATATATATAATTTTACCACTGTTTCCACAGACAGCGTCCGTTTGTTATTCTTACAAACAAATAAAATAAGAAAAAAACATCAGGTATTGTGTTATATTTACAGACTAGCTGTTCCGACGCCTTCGTCCATGTGGAATTTAACTTTCTAAAATAAAAGTAGCCTAAGTTACTCCTTAGTACATCAGCTATCTGCCAAAAAAATCCCGTCATAATCGGTCCAATCATTTCAAAGATTAGCCGGAACAAACCGATAGACCGACACAAAAATTGTAAAAAATGTTATTTTGGTGTGTGTACCGTATTTATATTCATATGCATTTAGTATAAAACGGTTATTTCAATATTACAAACACACACCAATTTTATTTATATGTATAGATTTTACCGCTGACAGCGATCCGTGCCTTTGTTAATTATACAAACAAATAGAATAAGAAAAAGACATCAAATATTGTTATATTTACAGATAGTGCCAATTCTACAAGTATTGTACAACACGCCGGATAGCAACTCTCACCATATATACATGTCCCTGATCGTACTACTCATCCTGACAGAAGACGATGCACTCATCAAGAGTGTACATCAAATTGTAAGTTATATATTTTTTTATAAACCATACAATTTTTTTTATATATGTTTTCGCAACCCATATTACGTTACTAAACTACTTATTTTTAATTTTACTAATATAGTCTCACCCTAGTCGAAATGTCGAGAAAGCTGAACCTTTAATTGCCATAATATTATTCGTGTTAAACCCTATTTAACTATTTTTTTTTAATTGATGATAATGGTATGGTTCTGCCGCCAGCGCTGACGGCTTACGCTGGCAGGGCACCAATGGAGGATGATAAGATAAGCATGAGGTCAGGTCAGTTAGTCCAGCTTGACAACTGGGAATTTACCACGATGGTTTCCAGGCGGAACCGCGTGGAGGTCAACCTGACATGGCACATTGCTAGCAATAAGATCATCAGTCCACATCACTAACAAAATCCTCTTTCCCCCGATGGTCGCGGGTTCGATTGCTTGCACGCCACAAATATTAGTATCAGTTGTAGTAATAACACAAGCTCATCTTAGCTTGGGACGAATGATGGAAGGAAGATGGCGTTGTGTGAATTGTCCATATTATTTAATGATATTACTGTGTTTTACAGATGCTAAAGAACCTAGCTTGGTACACAGAGCGGTCGATATCAGAGATATCTCTAGGGGGTCTTATAGTGCTGGTAATAGTCCGCGCACTGCAGTACAACATGGCGCGAGTGAGGGACAAGTATCTGCACACCAACTGTCTTGCGGCCATCGCCAACATGAGCTGTTAGTGATATATTATACTAGCTACCTACCCCTGCATCGCACGGGTGTACATGTAAACCTTCCTCTTGAATCACTCTATCTATTCCTAAAATCTACATTAAAATACATTGCGTAGCGAATGGACAGCGGAAACTTCTTCATTTTATTTTGTATAAAGATTTCTCCCAATTTACATAATATCTTTTTAAATTATAGCCTATGTGTTATTCTAATGATTAAGCTCTATTATTGTAAAGTTTCATCAAGATCTGTACGTAGTTTTTGCGTGAAAGTAACAATCAGCATATACTCACAAACTTTCTTTATAAATGTGATATTAGTTAAGTACTAATATCACATTTATGAAGAAAGTTTGTGAGTCCTTTTTAAAAGGCCGGCAAAGCACTAAGATATTATTTTAGATATTATATATGTGTAACATTAAATATATAATATAACACGTTACTATTTGCAGGTGAATTCAGAAATCTTCATCCGTACGTTGCTCAGCGTTTAATATCATTATTTGAAACCCTAACGAAGCGAAGAGCGAGACTCTGCACTGAAATAGAAGGTAGGTAGAAACTTAAATAATAGGTCTTAGGAAGAAATCACTAGGAAATTGTTAATGAAACAGTATCTTTCAAATCACATAATCAAAGATTGAAATTCACATTCCATTTAATTTTAATAAAGGGTACATTTTCGAATTGCCCCCCTTAATAATGAAATCGTCCCCCTGTGGGGCGTGGACAGGAAACACTGACCTAGTTACTATAGAAAACAAATAAATTATACAATACAATACAATTAATATCTATATCTCTACTAATCTATATCTAACATCTAATATCTTTATCTCGTAGTTACTAGCATAGTTTAAGTTATATAGATAAATAGATAAAATTTGTATTTCTTTATTCGTAACGAAAGTTACGATAAAGTGAGTTTACAAGCCTCTTAGGGTGAGTTACATAAACTCGCCCTAAGAGGCTTGTAATCCAGCCACGAAGGGGTTGTTGACGATGGGACTTCCCCCGAGGCCCTTCCCCCTCTCATCTCTCTCTCTCTCTATCTCTCATCTCACTCTTTCTCTATCTCTCATCTCACTCTTTCTCTCTCTCTCTCTCTCTCTCTCTCTCTCTCTCTCTCTCTCTCTCTCTCTCTCATCCCACCAGGGGGCTGCGGATGACTAGTCAGTCAGATAACTTTGTACCTTAAAAAAGTCTACCTTTGTATTGTTGCTAGCAAATAAATAATAGACTTTGCTGTAATAAATAATAGACTTTGTTTTCGTACACATTGTCTTTGTGTGATGAATCTAGAATCTTTTTTTTTTCTACAGGCGGTGACATTAATACACTAGATTTACCACATCATGCAGAAGAGAAGACAGAGGAAATTGTAAGTATTATCTAATTCAGGGATGAGAAACACGCGGCCCGTTAAACATATTTATGCGGCCCGCCAAAAAAATAAAAATAAAAATTGGCACCTTGATTAAAAAATGTGTTTTTTGTCATATTATTGATTTTTAAATTGTTTTTTAAACCCACAATTATATAAATACTCACGCTATTAAATAATATCTATCATCCCTGTTGCACATTTATGCTACGTTGGTGGCAAACAAGCAAACAGTCCTTCTGATAGTAAATGGCCTGATACCTATGGACGCCTGAAACACCAGGGTTGTCACGTGCTTCTCGCCGACTTTTAAGAAACCTTAAACCTTCTTGAAAAACCCTTATCACCTAGATGGAGCACTTAAGCGTGTTGGACGAAGTACTACGCATGCTTCTCGAGATCATCAATTCCTGTCTCACACACCAGCTGGTGAATAACTTGAACATGGTGTACGCACTGCTACATAAGAAACAGCTGTTCCAAATGCACCACAGTCACCACATAACGCAGAATATAGAGATGGTGAGTTTTTATGTAAGTTTTAGTATGTACGAAACGAAGAAGTACTACACAGGGTAAAAGAAAAAAGGCAGATATTGAATACGATAGAAAATAGACGAAGATAAATGTTAGGACATCTGATACAGTACGATGAAGACGAACGCACAGCTATATGAGCACAAGCAAATGAAAGACAAAATGGGAGTCGTGTCATATAACCATTTAAAGAGCATGATGGAAGATTGTAGTAGAGCAATGCTCTATTACAATCTTCTTGAGCACAAGCTGTTGTTGTAGTTGCCAAGTGGCAAGAGCTCCACCAACAAGAGCGTTGCTATTAAATTATGAATGAATGGAAATTATTCTGACGACCTCGGTGGTCATGCGGTCTAGCACACCGCTTTACAGCCGATGGTCGCGGGTTCGATTCCTCGCACGGACAAACATTTGTATTCATGAGTATGATTGTTTGTATCGGTAAAATATTTTCAGGTAATAGGTTATTTCTCTACGCGCCTGCAGCGTGTGCAAGAAGGTGCCGGCGGAGACCTAGGTGTCACGGAGGTGCTGGCCTGCATCAAGAAGGGTGCAGAGCAGTGGTCCAGTGATAGGCTAAAGGTAACTTTTTAAAAGCATCTCTTTGCATTTTAATGGTTGATAATTGAATGGTGCTCCCGCCTAACGGTTTACGCTGGCATGGGGCACCAGTCGTGGGTGATAAGATGAACATGAAGTCAGGTCTGATAGCCCATTGTGGTTCTCCCTCCTACGCAAACGGTTCACCAGTGGAGGATGTGCATGAGGTCAGGTCAGTTAACCGATCCTGAGAAATTCACCAGCAATTTATCACATTACTTGGCAGGGCCAACCATGTGGATGTCAACCTGACATGGTTACATTGCCAACCATGTACTATGGGATCCAATACGATACAATCTTCTTCACCCCATCTGTGTGCATATTCTACCATTATGGAACGTGTTCTGAGGAATTGTTCGGAAGAATTCCATGCATCAGCTAGTGGTTTTAATATACCGGGATATTTCAGATGTATATAGTGAAAATTTGTTTTCACTATATACATCTGAAATATCCCGCTAGGTAGTTATATGTGTTCTACTTTGCAGAAACTCTCCGACGTGTCGGAAAAGCTGATGGATGATAATACTTATACTTCTTTACAGAAATTCCCCGACCTAAAGTTCCGATACGTGGAAGAGGAGAAGCCTGAAGAATTCTTCACGCCCTACGTCTGGGGGCTGATCAGTAGCTGCGGAGGAGTGTACTGGGCGAGTGAATGTGGAGCGCGGGCAGTCGGTGACCTCCTCGCTTGCTGATCCCATATATGTGCAATATTTTGTTGTATTTAACAAACTCGATAAATGAATGTGACAAAGTCACAAAAAATGACGTTGACGCAGTGGCGTAGTGGGGGTACAAAGGGCCTCAGGGGCAGCGCCGTTCAAGGCCCGTGACAAATTCAACGGAAGTTTGTTGCTTACAATGTAAATATCTAAAAATAGACAAGGGAGACCTAGTCTTTTTTTACAAAATGAAATTTTAATATATTTTTTTACTTGTACATGCAATTAAGTAGGTAACTTAAATAAATTAAAAACAAAACTTTTTTACCATATGTGTAATAATAAATATTGGGTTGTGATTTTGGTCTGACCGGGGGTCGCTTCCGACTGGAGGCCCGTGGCATTTTGCCGACTTCCCACTCTGTAGTTCCGCCACTGCTCGGGGATACCAAAGGCGCTGACAAGCAAAAATCTTATTTAAATATTTTTTCTTTCTTATTAATAAAATAATATTGAAATTCATTTAAATATAACTCCTTCAATAATAAGTAATGAAATAAATGTATAAATCAATAAAGAAATAGGTGGGGTGTTGAAATTCCGATTGTGGACCAAGGGGATAGAGGAGGTGGGGGCAGGGGGGCAAAACAACGCTACGTCACTGCGATAACGCGACTGCAATTAAAAAAGGGCAGTACATCTCCGGTTATATGTTTCACCAAAGATGACCGAATGACATTACCCTTTTTTTTTATTGATATTTGGGTAAAGGGACCATAATTTTTGTCACATAAATTTCTTTTTTATTATCTCCCGTTGTTGTCACATCTGGTCTGGTCACGTTTGTGATACTCATATCTCTCTATTGTGTGGCGTCACATATTACGCGCGGCGGTGGTCTACCGGTTTAACCTTACCTATGATGGTCGCGGGTTCGATTCATCGCACGGTACAAACATTTGTATTCATGAGTATGATTATTTGTACTGGTGTAGGTAATATGTATATATAAAAAAATATAATTAAGTATGTCTATCAGTTTTCTTAATTTATTAATATTATTATTAATTTTAGAGTAGTAAACGGTGTTTAAATTTACATTATTTTATTTATTAATATATATATATATATATATAAATATATATAAATATTTTTTTGAATTTATTAATAATTAAAATTTCTTGTATCCATTCTTAGATATATATTTTTTTTAATGGATGATAATGGAACAGTGGTCTTGTGCGCTAATGGTTCACGCCGATATATATTAGTAGAGGATGATAAGATGAACACAAGGTCAGGTCAGTTAGCCTTAATGGCAAATTCACCAAGAATTTATCACTACAGTTTCCAGAAGGAACCGCATGGAGAACAACCTGATATGGTACATTACTAGTAATGGGGTTTAGCCCATAATACTTACAGTCTCCTTTCCCCCACTTAAATATATTAGCTTATACATTTGAATGTGACGTCACGAAATTTAACAATCAATGTATAATATGTGACGAAATTTATGGATCCAGAAGTATGGGTCTATGTTATACGATGTCTTCGCCAATCGTGAACCGATTATAATGATTATTTTTAAATCGGAGTAATAATAATTAGGATGATTTTATACTACTCAATTTATGTCGTCTTTTTTTTGTATTAGTGAAAAAATTGAATTATTATAGTAATTTATTTTAAATATTTTTTACCATTTGTACAAAGGTTAGATTAACGGGTTAAATGCATTTTGCAGTTCATGTCAACACTGTCAATTATGTACTTGAAATATGGAATACCTCATGCGTTATACTCTAGAACGGATAGTAGATCTCTGTTCATAATGTTTCTAGTAATTTTTCTCTTGCTAGGATTAAAAATTTACTGATTTATTTTAAAACCAATTGCGATCGATTGAAATGGTATGGGTGATATAACAAACCTATGTAGAGTTATAAAAATTGTATATGCTATCTTTACACGTACGCTCTTTTACGCTCGAATCGGCTTTCACGCAGGAAAGAATGTGCATGTAAATGTAGACAAAGAGCACGATAAAGACCACGCACGCAAACACTGAGCGCTTTCCCGCGTACTGTAGCGCCATTTTATTATAATTAATTATCATTTCAAAATGGCGGATATCTGACTAAGCAAAAACTTAATTATAGAGTTATTATTCTTATAATTATAATAAACGCGAAAGTTTGTGAGTATGGGTGAAAATTTGTTATTCTTTCACGGAAAAACTACTGAACGGATTTTGATGAAACTTTACAGTAATATAGATTATACATCAGAATAGCATATAGGGTATAAATTCACGCAGTTGAAATCGTGGACACAGTTTGTAATTTATGAAACTTAAAGGTATCTCTGGAAAATAAAATCAGTGAAATAAAAAATATTTTAAAAGAAAGAGAGATGACGTAAATAATACGCGGAAACGCACGAAACGAAGAAAAGTGAACTTAAAAAATAGTTAATCTGTCACGATTGCGCGCGCTGTCTTTCCCGCGCTAAATCCCGGACGCTCCAGATCGCGCGTGAATTGACGTCTCATGTAAAGGCAGTCATATACTTTTCATTAAGAAGAATGGTTAACAAAGTTAATAATAAATAGTAATAGAAAATTCGGACAGCGCCATCTAGTCCCACACTTACCAGATCTTATACTATGAGTAATCAACAATTGATAGAAATACTTTATTTGTAATATGTTTTTTAATGGATTATTCTGGAATGGTGCTGCCACTATGGTAATAAGTTACGTGGCTCTAGTGGAGGATGATAGAATGAGGTTAGTTTGATGGGGAATACACAATTTTTTTAAATGATAATAAAATAACATGCTTTTGTGGCACAAGTAGAGAATAATAAACTAACTAACGAAGATGAGCATGAGGTCGAAGGGAAAGGTGATTATTAGTAATTACCCCATTGCTAGCAATATACCTGACGCGGTTCCCCCTGACCTCATGCTCATCTTATCATCTTCCACAGGTGCCCGCCAGCGTAATCCGTTAGTACCATTTCATTATCATATACAAAAAAAAGTAGTAATGTGGTCTGTTGACCCCTTTCATAGCATGTCAAGTTGACCTCCACGTGGTTCCCCCTGGAAACCATCATGATAAATTCCTGGTAAAATTATCAAGATGGGCTAACTGACCTGACCTCATCTTGATCCTATCCTTCACTTGTGCTTCGCCAGCGTATACCGTTAGCGCAGACGGGTGTACCGTTACATTATCATTCATTAATAAAAAATCATCTCCCTCACTCTACATAGTTTAGGGCTAAATGACGCTATTTTAAGTTATCAAGCTGTAGTACAATCATTGTTTATCAGCAAAAGAGGCAAGTTTAGTTTAAGAAAGTGTAATATACATGTTTAATATTAAACTGAGTTACGTGAGCAAATTCGACTTTAAAATTAAATATTTTAAAATTGATAATCCAAAATTAGCAATTTTTTAGATAATTCAGTTTAATATTAAGCAGCGATATATATGTTTATAGAATATATTCAGTACAGATGAGCAAAGGCACAGATTAGTGTATATTGTAATAAAATCACAAAGTGCTAATTGCTGTAAGCACTATAAATAATTTAATAATATAAATAATATAATTGTCAATCTATAGTCATACAATAATCATACAATGTCTAATAATAATGGTTGACAATAAAATATTAAAGGATTTCGTCATGTGTTTTTTTTTTAATCTATATACAATTTGTTTGTTTCAATATTCAGAGAAATAAAATTCTTTTAATGTTGGGTAGCCCAGGATAACCCAATTACCGAGGAAGGTTTAGGCTATAAACATGAAGCTACGACCAATAGGAGCAGAGCTGCACTGCAAAATGTAATGCGATGAAATTACACGGATCAACTTTTATCCAGAATTAAAGTCGTTGAGTAAGATCTATTGGTATTAGTATTTCAACTTACACACCTCGAAATATTTATATCAATTTAAATTTCATACTCTACACTACTCATGTATGTCATTTGTGTAATGATAAAAAAATATAGTACACAGATGCAAGAAAAGGAGTTTAGTCAAGTTAATTTATACCTAAATTCAGAATTTATTATCTTGGTAGTGCACAAAGAGTATTAATATGACAGTGTCGTAACCTCATGAATACTTGAATATGCGGTACATATACATATATATACTGCTAGAAACAATTAAATTAATTTAACTGTTTTGAATGTCATAAACACTTTTAAAAAAGTTCAATAGATAAATCATTAAAAAAAGCATGACAACCCTGTCAGAGGGACTTGTATCGAAAACTGAATAAAAATCTATTTAAAAAATTCTCAACCTATGAAGATCTAATGCCACTCAATTATAAACAAACTTTTGTGTAGCCCAGAAACAAAAATTTGTTTCTGTCAGAGTCGGAGATGTAAATCTATTTTATTGATCAAGTCGAATGCAAGTGTATCAGTTAAGTATAATAATATGAGATGATAATATAGATGTATTAAAATACATCAAATCAAACGTTGCTTCCAGTTACGGAATATAGCTGTCAACATAGTCCACAGAACAATGTATGTCATAGTTTCTCTGATTTCAGTTTGTGGTAGGTTGTCTGTAGCTCAGAACAATAAATATTCTGTGCCGACTGTGGAAACGCCTAAACAAAGATTTTTGAATTATATATAAAATCTGTAATTCTATTCATTCTTTTTATTTGTTTAAAATTAAATATTTATGTGATTTATCTGAGTAGTTTTTGTAGGGTCGTTTAATTGTATTTATTTATAGTGCGTAAATAATTCTTCCTCGTCAGAAGGGTAAGTGCGTGTTTTTATATTTTATATATATAATAGTAGGATTTATTTATTGGTTTGCTTTTTATTAAATTATATATTTTTATATAGGTACTCAAATACAATGTCTAAGCGTTATATTTTGTATTTTGTTAACTACATATACGTAAATACGGTATAAAATATTTCATAGTTGGTTTAGAACTGTTTAGGAATATTATTGTAAGTAGTTAAATAGAAAATAAAAATATTTCTTCTACGCTTGATAATAACTATTCTGAAGAAATTAATATATAGTTGCTTCAGAATGGCAAACATTATAGATTATCTACAACTAACGCTGTTTACCAAGCAAAGGAATAAGATTATCCTATGGCAATAAAAATATACATTATTTACCTGATATAATTAAAAAGGTTACAGGATATAATAAGTTGGAGGAGGCGTTTACCCAATGGTACCATATATAAAGAAATGGAATTAATTAAACTTGAGATATAAATTTAAAATTTAAATTGTACAGGAAATCAATAAAAATTAAAAAAGATAATAAACATAAATTTGTTAGCAAGTTAAAACAAATGCTGATAAATAAAGCTTATTACGGAATTTATGAAAAATACAGGTGAATTATATTAAAAAATCAGCCTCGTCCATGTTGCTATACCTTACAAGGCGCATACCACTATTGTTTCTCTCGGACGACACTAGAACTGTTATATTATGTGTGAATTTAGCTTTATTTATATAGTATATATTTTGCAAATAAATAAATAAATTTATTGGGAATATATCAGGGAATAATTTAAAAACAAAAATTTATTGATACATGTATATAAACAGAGAATTATAAAATATGAAATTAATGAATGCAGTCCTCATAGTATGACAAAAATGATAATATGAGCTTGTTATCTTGGCTGTAATACCTATCTGGTTACCACTATACATGGTGTTTCAAAAATAGATGACAAACCAAAAGCAGGAAATAGAACAAGTCATTGTAGCTATAAAAAGATTTATTCTTTATTTTTATGATGGTCATGATAGCTGTTGTTTTGTCTCCTGCTTTTGTTTTATCGTCAACTTTTGGGACTTTCTGTATACCACTGGTCATCAGTGGACTATTAAAGTCATGAGTTCAAATCTAGCAGATACAAA